CTGGCCCTGCTGACACAGCTGCTTTTGAGCGCGGTTCTTTGATCCTATAACAGCCTTAAAAGGGAAATGTGAAGTGGACTGGACGTAGCGGGTCTAAAAACTATTTGCATGGATCGTGATGCTGAGAAACTGCACTGGGAACCAAGACTGTGACAGAAGACTCGGAAAGCCTGGGGCTTTGGTTAGGTACCAGAGGCCTCTAGTGAATTCAGATTTTGACACAGACCCTTCTGAGATGATTGATCTCTTCTACCCTGTCAGCTGTAAAGGCCTACAACCAAGGAGACTTTACTTCCAGTCTTTTTCTTTTCTTTCTTCTTTTTCTTTTCTTTTCTTTTTTTTTTTTTTCAAGACAGGGTTTCCCTGGCTGTCCTAGAACTCTCTCTGTAGACCAGGCTGGTCTTGAACTCACAGAGATTTGCCTGTCCCTGCCTCCTGAGTCCTGGGATTAAAGGCGTTTGTCCCCACACCCAGCTCAACCCCAGTCTTTATTAGAAACCCAAGCTCTTTGACACAGTCGATTCCGGGGAAATGGAGAGTGGAAGCCGACCTTACGTAGAAAGTATAACGAACTCAAAGAGAAAGTTTCTGTAAAAGCAAGCATTTGCAGGGAAGCCGTTGTCAACTCTTGGACAACCCGCACATAAAAATAAATAATGACAGTAATCTATTAAACTGACAAAATAGTGACCCATAGATCCTCCAGTATGTAGTCGATGGCATTTCAAAGTCACTGCTTTGCATCCACCGTTGTAATAACCAATCCAGGCAAGCATCATCCACATGTGTAAAACAAAGTGAGCAAAAGCTTGATGTAGAACAGGTTGCCTACAGTCTCCTAAGTATCTCCTCATAGATAAATCCTTTTTTTTTTTTTTTTTTTTTTTTTTTATTTTTAAGTGTGTGTGTGTGTGTGTGTGTGTGTGTGTGTGTGTTTTTGTGTGTGTGTGTGTGTGTGTGTGTGTGTGTGTGTGTGAGTATAGTGCCCTTGGAGGCCAGAAGAGGGCATCAGATCTCCTAGAACTGGAGTTACATGCAGTTGCGAGCCGTCCGAAGCAGGGGTTAGGAATGGAACTCTGGTTCTCTGCATTACTTGCTCTTAACTGCTGACTCACACAGATTATAATTTTAATGGGGAAAATGCAATTATAGAACAGAGAAATCTGAAAGATACCACATTAATCAAATGTTAAAATAAGGGCACTGATATTGGGAGAAACTGATTTTATATGCTTCCTCTAAGATAGAACGCATCGACAAGAACATGACATCATTTTTGTGGTACTATGGGAAAGGTGATTGGTTTGAAGGACATTCTATGAAATAAAGATATATTATTGTGCATCCACACATATATGTGGCTTATACATGTACATGCATAAGGGTACATGTATTCATTACCATGTTGCCATGACCAAAAGTGACTTATGGAAGAAAGAGTTTATTTCAGGGGCATAAGAATCCATCATGGGAGGGAGGGAGGAAGCTAAGAGCTCACATCTGCAAACATGAAACAAGACCATGCCTCCTAAACCTCCTCAAACAGTGCCACCAACTGGGGAACAAGTGTTCAAATACACAAGCCTATGCAGGACATTTTATTCAAACTACTATAACACAAGTGTGTGTGTGTGTGTGTGTGTGTGTGTGTGTGTGTGTGTGTGTGTGTTTGAGCTATGTTATGAGAGCGTAGAGGAAAGACAAGAGTAAGTGTAGATGGGAAGATGTAAGGCAAGAGGTAACAACCCAGGGTGGGTTGACAGAGAAGATGAAAAGTGGGAGATTCCTAGACAGAGTGGGTGAGCTCTTTGCATTTCCTGCCCTTCCTTGTCACGGAATATTTCTTTACACTGTAAAGATGTGTCTCTGCCCAAGGAGCCTTCTGATTGGTTTAATAAAGAGCTAAATGGCCAATAGCTAGGCAGAAGAGAATAGGTGGGACTTCCAGGCAGAGAGAGAAAAACTGAGAGGAGGATTCTAGGCACGTGATTTCACCCCCAGACTGGGAGCAAGTTGGATGTGCCGTACTAAGAGCCAAATGGCAGAACATAGATCTGAAAAATACAGGTCAATTAAGTTATAAGAGCCAGTTAGGAAAAGGCCTAAGCTAAGTTCAAGCTTTCATAATTAATAATAAGTCTCTGGGCCATTATTTGCAGACTGGCAGTCCAAAGATAGTATGACAAGAAAATCTACTACACTTCCCTCACCACTATTCAGTAACTTTTAGTTAGTGGAAACCGAGAAACTTTCATTTTTGAAGTTGCAACCTTCCTACTTCTCAATGTTCATGAAATGCGTTTAATATCCTTCACTTTCCTTCACAATTGAGACATACGTTGACGTCCAGATTCTCAGAGCACACAGAGAGTAGAGTCTGTAAGAGATTTGTGGTTGGAGACAGCGCTCTGCAACCCTCAGAGTTTATTTTGGGTGAACTAAATAAAGAATAAGCATCAGGAAACGCTCCTTTCTGGAGCTGGAGAGATGGCTGCGAGCTTAAGAGCACTGACTGCTCTTCCAGAGGGTCTGGGTTCAAGTCTCAGCACCCACATGGTGCCTCACAATTGTCTGCAACTCCAGTTGGAGGGGATCTGACACCCTCTTCTGGCCTCGATGAGCACTGCACACACATGGTACACAGATATATATGCAGGCAAAACATCCATACACATTAAAAAAATAGAAAGAAAATTAAAATAGGAATAAATTAAAGTAGAAAGAAATGCCCCCTTAGGGGCTTTGATTTTTCCAACTCCTGAGCCAGGCTAAAGGCTCTGTAGCCGAGCCAAGCAGACTCCTGTGATTCTGGCCTAGAAGGCAATGTGCCAGCCTTCAGTCTCTTTGTCAGAGAAAGTATTAACTTACCCTTCATAAATTTCCTAGGAAACAGAGATACACTCATCATCGTTTAAAGATATGTGTGGTGGTGGTGGTGGGGAGAGATCATTGAGATTGCATGAAGGAAGCTACTCCAAAGTCTGAGAAATCCTTTCTTTCTGAGAACCAGTGTCCTCCTCTTGGGTATGAGAACATCTGCCTCCCTCTGAAGGTGGGTGGGTGACAGGAGACCTTTGGGACGTTAGACAGGCATGCCTCCAGCCCTCTGACTTCACACCTGCAATCTGATCTACATTGGATCAGAATCATAAGGTTAGAGATCAACAGGCCCCCAGAGAGGCTGTCAACCAAAGCTTTCTGTCTTGAAATGGCACAAAGTTCCGGGAAATCAGACATCTACCTAAGAGCACACACCCAGCCACGAAGTCAGCGAATCCCCAAACTCCCAACCTTGTGTGCTCTCCAGCCAGTACACGATGTTTGTTGTTCTTGGCCATCATGGGTCTCGTTGGGCCAATCCTCAGACAAACACACGATTATCCTTTAACTCCAGGGCAAACTCCCCTCGGCTTTGATCTGATTTCCTGGATGCAGGGATCACTGGCCTCTGGTGGGCTTACATCAGAGGAGGATGAGCTCAGGCTCTGGTTTGTTTTCACCCTTATCGGCACTGGGGCTGGCCTAGACCAGAGGCCCCTCAGTGGGAGGAGGGTACCTGGAGGGGTGCTCTGTTGGGACGGACAGAGCCAGACTTATACATGGTCGACCTGTTGGATGGAATTTGTGACTAGCTGAGTGACTTCAGGTACAGGTATCCCTCCCCCCCCCCCCTTGATATCAGTTTTCTCAATGAAAATGTAGAGGCTGGTGAGACGGTCCAGTGGGTAGAGGTGATGCTCCCAAGTCTGACAGACACATGTTGTCCTCTGAATGACACACCCAGCCATGTGCATGTCCTCTCCCACCCCCAGGCACTCATGCACACTAAACAAATAAGTAAAACTGTAATTTAAGAAAAATTAAGTTAAAAATAAAGATGACATTCATATTTACACGAGACCATGCAGACAGCACATGCCTAGTGAATAGTGATGTTTAATAATTGTTTTTTTTCTTTTTTGTTCTCTGTCCAAAAATATCTATGCCTATGAATAGAGCTGGGCCTAGAGGGCTTAAATAAAATCCACTCCAAGCCATTCAAACTTTTCTTCTCATTAGAAGATTATCCCCAGTGGGAGCCATGTGCTGCCAGAAAACCTGCGAGCAGCTGGGAAACAAGCCTGCTCCATTACCCTGCTTAGTAAGTAATTGTTCAATATCTGAGATTTTCTTCTGTGCATATACCACACCCATTTAATATGAAAGTAATATAATACCATAATTCTACATTGTAGCTTGATTTTAAAATCCAACAGTAGATTGTTAATAACCAACATATAAACAATCCCATTTCTATAGTTTAATTTTTAATTACTACATGGAAGCTTTTGGACAGTTGATGCAGTTATCCAAACCAGAATTCTCTCTGTAAGATGTTTAGATTGTTTCTATTTTTTTTCTTTTTCTTTTTTTGCTATGGTAAGCATTGCTTCAGTTAACATTCCTGTGGGTAAATCTGTTTAATTGTTGTTTCGGTATCTTCATTATTGTCTTAGTATAAATGACTCAAAGGAGGAGCCATTGGGTCCAAGGCAATCTCAGATGTGAACTCTTTTGCTATGAATGCTCACCAGCCACACTGGAATGACGGAGTCTGCAACAGCAGTGAGTGAGTCACCACCAAGGAGCTTCCTGGGAATGCTGTAAGCACAGTAAACAGAAACCTTTCTCATGAAAGGGCAGGGAGGGGCTGGGGAGCCTTGCAGGGCTCATCCTTGGGCGATGGATCTGGATTCTGAGGAATAAGAAGGACATTCCTCCACGTGAGTAATGCCCCAAGCTTTTCTCCAGTTAAGAAAACCCACAGCATTGTGCAGGCACCTAGCTAGGTGCTGAGGATGCAGAACTGGAAAAGCTTATCCAGCTGGCAAGATGGCTCAGTGAGCAGCGCGCTTGCTGCGTGACCTGGATGAACATACACCAAGGTGGCAGGAGAGAAATGATTCTGAAAGTCACTCTCTGACCTTCATGTGCCCTGGCCTGCAGGCCTGCGCTCACACATAGTACACACAAAATAATAATAAGATGGTTTTTGTTTTTTAAAAAGCTTTAGGCTGGGTAGCGGCGCACGCCTTTTATCCCAGCACTTGGGAGGCAGAGGCAGGTGGATCTCTTTGAGTTTGAGGCCAGACTGGTCTATAAAGTGAGTTCCAGGATAGTCAGGGCTACACAGAGAAACCTTGTCTCGAAAAACAAAAACAAAAACGAAGCAGAAATGATAAACTTGGAATCTAACCACAAAAGAAAATCTAAAGGTTAGACCCTGATTCAGACATGGTGGGTAGGGGCTTAGCAAGGACTCCTGGGGGACTTGGAATCTGAGACAAGCTTTGAAGAATGAACAGGAGTTAGTTCCACAAAAGCCCAGGGAGTTCAGACAGATCACATGGTCAAGGCCTCACAGCAAAGACAAGTATTATAGACTCATGAAAACTAGACCCAGAAGTCTGGGAATCCAGATCCAAAACTTCATTCAGAAAGTCTCTTTAGGTTCCAGGAAGATGGCTCAAATGGCTTGTTTTGAAAGCATGAAGAGCCAAGTTCAAATCCTCAACACTCATGTAAGAAACCGGACATGGCTGCAGGTGCCCCTATAATGGGTGTTATGGGGAGGGTGGGGGAGACGGGAGGATCCTGGAAGCTCATTGGCCATCCAGCCAAAAAGCTGGTTCAGTGGGAGACTCTATGAATAAGGTGGAGAGCAATAGAGGCGGATACCCACTTTCTTCTGGTTCCTTCTGCATGCATGCAAGCATGGGCACCTACATACAGCACACACACACAGTCATATACACACATATGCATATAACACACACATACTTACACATGCACATACTCACACACACATATGCACATACTCACACATAGAGCACAAACACTCATATACACATGTACACACACACACACACACACACACACACACACACACACATCCATCCTTCTAAATGGATGCTTGAATTTCAACCCATTCCATGGTAAGAGCTAAAGGTCACTTGCTCCTGTGCCTTGTGGAGCATCACAGACACCACAGGACCACAAATGACCAGTTAGGGATGAAAGAAAAGACAGCCTACCTTGTGAGAACAGGAGGATGCTCTTAGTAATGAGGCCCCTTGTACTGGGGCACCTGGCTTGTAGCATGACTTATGGCAGTTCTTAGCCTCTGTATGTCCAGCAAGTACCAACATCATTTTTAAAGTGTTCTTTTTGGAGTTAAGATACCTACATTTGGAAAAATAAGTAATTGTGACTAATTAGTCTCCAAATAGCATAAGTAATTTTGTTGTTTTGTTACCAGGGGTTAGGACTCAGGGCCTGGCACCAAGTAGGTGAATCACTCCACCCCTAAGCTATAAGCTCGCCGAGATCCAGCCGGATGTTTTCTGTTGTGTTTGTAGAGTTGGGGATTTAATCCAGGGCCTTGCACATGCTCAGTCGGTGCCCTACCGCTGAAACTACTCACTAGCAAAACTGATCGACAGGCAGGAACCTGGGGGCCTTCTGGACTTCAACGATTTGCATAGGCCCATTAGGCTTAAAGGTCACCAAGGTCATGGTCAATGAAACAGGCACAGGTGTCTGTGGAGCCTGTGAACTTCAGCTCACACTCATGGCTTCCAGCCTGCTCTCAATTCCTCTGTTCCATGTGCATCTGTCTGATTGAACGGCCATTCTGGACTTCACATTCCACCATGCGGCCTGGAGGCAGCTTCCCAGTGAGCATACGTCTAGGCCCCACAACTAGATAATGCAGTTCCTTGTAACGCCTCTCACTACATTTGCTAAGTCTGATGGAGCCCTGACGGACACAGCCACGAGGGAGGGAAATCTGTAGCAGAGATGGAAATAACCGTGGGACAGAAGGGATGACTCTGAGCTATTTTGAAGATTCAAGCAATCCAGTCTAAGTGAACAATCCAATATGGCGGCAACGAAGGAGGGCTTGAGAACGACCCCAAACACCTGAGGGTCTGTGACTGTGTCAAGGCCTTTTGTTGCCAATGCCAGAGTGTTACAGAGGGTGGCTGTCTGGACCAACTGTGTCCAATTATTTGATGTCTTAGCCAAAAGACTGGAGATGCACACACAGACTGCATGGTGGCGAGGAAAATGTATTTAGATTCAGCAAAGCGATAGTGTGGATCAGATATGCTGTAAGTGAGCAAGAGGCTCCCTGGGTTAGACTACTCAAGGGCCCCGGGGTTACTGTTTGGGTACTTAATGATGTCTAGGAGGAGGAGCTACTTGCTAAGGGTGTAGCTAGGGTAGTTTTCTAGTCTCCTGAAAGACTTGAGTTACATCAGCAGTTCTGCTGAGCATGTCCTTTTCCCACAATGCATGTGGTTTTAATCAAATGTATGCTGACATATAATCATAGGCATAAGATCATAAATAGATTCACCCTACAAGTTCATTCAGAGGACACAGTTTGCCACATTGCACATGCATCCGGAGCGGCGTTACTGACCTCACTTGTCCATCCCTCACATGGTTTCAGGATGTGATTCAGGATGTGTCCAAATAGAAACAGGAAGTTAGGAGGCTATCAAGGGATTACTAGAAGGAGTAAATTATTTCCATTGTTTAAGTAAGTATGTGCACAGCCTGATACAGGTAAGGGTTCAAGTTGCAAACAGGTTGTTATGTGTATTGCTAGGAAGAGGTTATGTTTATTGCTCAAGCCAAATGAATCCTGGGGGATTAGTGCTAAGCTGTTCCTGTGATTGCCTACCTCAGGAGTTGAACTAAATTAAGAGGGAGAGGTATGAAGATCAGAGTTTTAGGCTTAAGTTTAAAGGGCCTGAGGAATGCCTAAATGGCCTATTTGGAGATTTAGAATTGATGTTGGCTTCATGGATCTGAAGCCTTGTTTGTTTCTGGCAGGATATCATATATCCCAGGCTGGCCTGGAACTCACCATATAGCTGAAGATGACCTGGACCCCCTGATCTTCCAGGTCCTACCCACAGAGAGCTGCCATTGTAGGTGTGCATCACCAGGTCTAGTGTGGAGCTGAAGTTTAATGAGAATGAACAGCAGCAGCAACAGAGTCCTCAGGGACTAGGACATGGGCTCCCTCTGCAGCAACAGAAACAGGACTCTGGGAAAGCTCGTGCTTAAAGGGAAAACAGAGGAAGATGGGCTACTGAAAGATTTAGGATGAAAGGCCCACAGGAAAAAGCCTGGACCCAAAGGCAAGGAGGGATCAGATCCATACAGAAAAGGGGGTGGAAAGGGGTCCGAGGGTGAGATGCCATAGAGAACTAGACCCAAAGCAGGAATTAAAATGTATCCATTGCTTTCAGGGCCCAGGAGGTGCCTGGAGACCGACCCTGGTGGATCTTCAGAGGAGTGGAGAGGGCGAAGGCCAGGTTGTAGTGGGATGGTGAGAGGGAGTTCGGGCCTTGAACAGGTCACGCGTAGACAGTTTCTTTTAAGCCTGGCTGTAAGGAGAGCGACACTCGAGAGGGGATATGAGGCTGGCGAAAGGCTCCAGCACTGAGAAGAGACATGTGCACACTTTACCCACTCCCCACCCTCCACCCCCCCAACCCCCCACCCCCGCTGTGCACGCGGCTCACGTGTGCAGCACGTGGCCTCAGCTGGTGGCACTGTCTTGGGAGGTCATGGAAACTTCAGGAGGTAGGTGTGCCTCTGAAGAGTAGAGCTGGTTCCCTCCCCCCCCCCCCCGGATCCTGTCTACCATAAGGGGAGACCACGAATTTCAAGGAGAGTGGGAGGGTTTGAAGGGAAGACTGGGAAGGGAGAGATGTTGTAATTAAATTATAATCTTAAGATTAATGTGTGTGTGTGTGTGTGTGTGTGTGTGTGTGTGTGTGTGTGTGTGTACTCATGGAGGCCAGAAGGGCACACGAGGTTCTTTGGAACTAGAATTACAGGCAGTTGTGAGACATCTAATGTGAGTGCTGGGGTTTGAACTCTGGTCCTCAGCAATAAGCACTCTTAACTGCTGAGCCATCTCTCCAGCCCATATTCTCTATACTTAAAAAAAGCAAACAAGAATGTAGATGTCCTAGTTAGGGATTCCACTGCTGTGATGAACACTATGACCAAAAGCAGCTTGGGGAGGAAAGGGTTTAGTTGACTTACACATCCACAGCACTGTTCATCATGGAAGGAAGTCAGGACAGGAACTCAAACAGGACAGGAACCGGGACACAGGAGCTGATGCAGAGGTCATGGAGGGGTGCTGCTTACTGGCTTGCTCCACATGGCTTGCTCAGCCTGCTTTCTTATAGAACCCAGGACCACCAGCTCAGGGTTGGTACCACACACCATGAGCTGGGTCTCCCCTATAATCAATCACTAATTAAGAAAATGCCCTACAGACTTGCCTACAGTCCAAACTTATGGAGGCAGTTTTTTCAATTGAGGCTCCTCTCTGATGATTATAGCTGTGTCAAACTGATACAAAACTAGCCAGCACAGTAGCATTTATAAAAAAAAAATATTTTTAAAAACATTAAAAAAGAAAGACGTGTTGTCTAAAAGGATGGGGAGGAGCAGGAAATGTGTCCTGAGGGAAAAGCAGGGTCAAGGGAAGAGTAACTTCTCAGGATTGTCAGAAAGTGTTTATAGTAGGTGCAAAGAGAGAGGCTGATAGTAGACAGAAGGGAGATTGGGAAGGAAAAGCAGAATGATAGGATGCACAGATGCTGTGGTCAGTTATGGACCATGTATGACAATAGTCTTTTAAGATGATAGCAGGACAGGTGAGGTAATGGCACACACCTTTAACCCCAGCACTCGGAAGGCAGAGGCAGGTGGATCTCTGTGAGTTCAAGGCCAGTCTTGTCTATAGAGTGAGTTCCAGGACAGCTAGGGCTACACAGGAAAACCCTCTGTTGAAAAATAAAAAATTTAAAAAAAAAAAAAGATTCTAACAGAGCAGAAAAATTTTTTATCACTCAGTGACGTAACAGTTGGCACATCACAGAAATGCATCTCCCATGTTTTGTTGCTGATGCTAAATGGGCCGACAGAAGAGCCAGCCACGGCAGACTGACCCAGCAATAAGGCCCTGCTTGGCAGTGGATAATAAACAAGGGTTAGTTTGTGTATTGACCACACTACGCTTTTGTCATCATTCTAGAGTGCGGTCCTTACGCTCCTTAAGAAGTTTACTGTCAAAGAGAACGAGGCTACACCAGCCACGGCCAATCCGGCTTCTGTTTACTATGTCGCTAGACTGTATCAAGAGGCCTGTCTGAGTGACTGTGGGTTAAGTAACCTCTGTGATGTTTACTCTGTGAATCAGCTTTCTTCTCCAATCTGGACTTGGTAGAACGGCCCTGGCAAAGAAGCAGGGGGAAAGGGTGATGGAAAGAAGGGCCCTTCTGCCATCGATGAGGTGGTACCCCAAGAAAACATCCCCAGCATTCACAAGTGCTCCATAGAGTGGGCTTCAAGAAATATTTCCCTAGCCTGGCCTTTAATCCCAGCACTCAGGAGACAAGTAGATCTCTGTGAGTTCAAGGTCAGCTGGTCTACCTGTGAGTTCCAGGGCAGCCAGGGCTACATAGAGAGACCCTGTCTCAAGAAACCTAGAGATTTGCCATTAAGAAACTGGGCACTTCAGATGGGTGCACTGGTGCCCAGTTCAACCAAGTCCCTGAGCATGCCCCATGTTTTACCCATGTGTGTTTGTCAGGAAACAGACGCAGGATAAGGATTTAATGAACAAGCACTATATTTTGTGTGCTGGCTACTTTTATGTCAACTTGACACAAGCTAGAGTCATTAGGGAAGGGACCCTCAATCGGGAAAATGCCCCCACCAGACTGGCTTGTGGACAAGCCTGTGGGGCATTTTCTGAATTAGTGATTGATGTGGGAGGGTCAGGCTCACTTTGAGCAGAGCCACCCCTGAGCTGGTGGTCCTGGGAGCTATAAAAAAGCAACCTAAGCAAGCGATGGGGAGCAAGCAGTACACAGCAGCACCCCTCCATGGCCTCTGTATCAGTTCCACCTCCAGGTTCCCACCCTGCTTGGGTTACTCCCCTGTAGAAGTGTAAGCAAAGTAAACCTTTTCCTCCTTACCTTGTTTCTGGTCATGTTGGTTTTTGTTTTTTGTTTTGTTTTGTTTTTGCTTGTTTGTTTTGTTTTTGTTGTTGTTTTTGAGACAGAGTTTCTCTGTGTAGCCTTGGCTGTCCTGGAACTAGTTTTGTAGACCACACTGGCCTCAAACTCTCAGAGCTCCACTTTATCTCAGCAATAGAAACCCTAAAACACTTTGTAAGTTATATCTTCATCACCATATTAGAAAACTACATAGCTGGACAGTGGTGGCACATGCCTTTAATCCCGACACTCGGGAGGCAAAGGCAGGCGGATCTCTGTGAGTTCGAGGCCAGCCTGGTCTATAGAGCCGAGATCCAGGAAAGGTGCAAAGCTACACAGAGAAACCCTGTCTCAAAAAGCCAAAAAAAAAAAAAAGAAAGAAAAAAAAGAAAGAAAGAAAGAGAGAAAGAAAGAAAGAAAACTACAGATTGAAAACTACACATCAAGAAGGTGGATGAGAACTACTGAGTGTCAGATAAAGTTAGACAACTGCCAAGGAAGGAAGGAAGGAAGGAAAGAAGGAAGAAAAGAAGGAAGTCTCTGCTCCTCAGAACTCTTACCGCTGTCTGTGATACACAACTGTCATCAGGGAAGGCACAGGGAGAGGGTGCAACCTGAGGCAGATAAGGCTTAGAGCTGCAAAGAAGGCGAGACTGTGTGATTTGCAAACGAACCAGAGAGCGTTCTTAGCTGACAACACTCCATCTGTTGAGGGTTGAGACGTAGGCATGTGATCAGGGACTTGAGAGGGGCAAACATAGGTTAGCCATCCGAGGGACTGGGAGACAGTCACAGAGATGAAGAGCAAGCAGGAGGCCTTCCTGTGGCCCCATCTAAGGACAGGGAGCAACCTGTGTCAGCGCATCAAGAACAGAGGTAGGAAAACCCCACGGCGAGACCCTCAGGCTGGAAGCAGGGACGAGAGAAATTACAGGAAAGGCTGAGACCTGAAGAGGATGCTTGTGTGAGTGTCCCTCAGTAAGTGATGGGGACTGGAGCCCATAGACAAGGCCGTGAGGCCAGGAGGTGTCTAATAGATTGGACAATGTGGGGACAGAGGGACTGGCACTCGCCGTGAGGCTGAAAAACAAGTTGAGCTGATGAAAATGAGTGAGAGATGGACAGAAGGTGGGTGGCGAAAAAAGAAAGAGAGAAAAGTGAAGACAGAGTAAAGGTCAACCTTTGTGAGCAGGATGAGGACATCTGCTCTGTGAGGGTGTGACCGGGAAGAGGGTAGAAGAAGTAAAGCCGAGGTAGAGGAGACAAGATGGCGGGTGAGATTCAGGAGTTGGCTGTAGGCAGGGCATTGCAGGGGGCTGGGTAGGGAAGGAGAGTGGTCAGGGCCACCGGTGAACACCTGAGGATCAGACTCATTGAAGTGAGAATGATTATGGCAGCTGTCTTAGTTAGGAATTTCAATTGCTGTGAAGAGACACCATGACCACGGCAACTCTTATAAAGAACACATTTAATTGGGGTGGCTCGCTTACAGTTTCAGAGGTTCAGTGCATTATCATCTTGACTGAGAGTATGGCTGAGTGCAGGCAGACGTGGTGCTGGAGCAGCTGAGAGTCCTCCATCTTGCAGGCAACAGGAAGTTGGTTGATGTCACACTAAGGGAAGCTTGAGCAAAAGAGACCTCAGAGCCCGCCCCCACAGTGACACACTTCCTCCAATAAGACCACACCTCCTAATAGTGCCACCCCTTTTGGGGGCCATTTTCTTTCAAACCACAGAGGCAGCCTAATGTCAGCATGTGAGAACATGTCCCAGCATACCCCTCCCAGCCTCAGGGAGAATGTACAGACTGTTTCTCCCCTTTGCAAGGTGGAGGGAGAGGAGCATTGTTTTACTGTGGCTTTTTCAACAATTAAAGAAAAATGGAGCTTTTTTCTAAGTATAAGACCACGGGCTGTAGAGATGACTCAGAGGTTAAGAGCACTGGTTGCTCTTCCAGAGGTCCTGAGTTCAATTCCCAGCAACAACATGGTGGCTCACAGCCATCTATAAGAGATCTAGTGCCCTCTTCTGGCCTTCAGGTGTACATGCAGAACACATAATAAATAGATAAAAAAAAAAAAAAAAAAAGACCGAATCTTCAAAGAACAAGGAAAAATAACAGGAAGATGAATTAAAATGGATCAGACCAGATGCTGCATGTATGCTCAGAGAAATCAAAACAGGTCTGCAAGGGTTCTGTGCCATCAAACGGGTCCAGAAAAGGGGAAAGCTTTCTGAAGAGAAAGACGGTCTAGGACAGTGGCTCTCAACCTTCCTAATGCTGCCACCCTTTAACACAGTTCCTCATGGTGTGGTGACCCCAACCATGAAATTATTGTCCTTGCTACTTCATAACTGTAATTTTGCTACTGTTGTGAATCATAATATAGAGATCTGGTATTCGGGATGTTTGATATGTGTGATCCCTGTGAAAAGGCCATTCCAGCCCCGAAAGGGTCTCCACCCACAGGTTGAGAACCGCTGGTTTTGAAGTGGATGGGGTTGGAGGGTGGACAGGGCAAAGGAAGTTGCATGGAGACCATGTCTCGGGATGTGTTCAGGAGACTCCCCTGGCTGAATTTTGTTCTAGCGTAGAATGTGCTAGAAATAGAATAGAAAGGGGAACGAAGCCGATTCTGTAAGGACTGGAATGGCAGGATCAGGAGCATAGACTTCATTCATACGTTAAAAATCACCAATTACGCAGCCATAAATAAAATTTTTTTTTGCTTG